GAGGCTAAGTGGAAGGAGACTGATAGCAGATAGCAGTTATCTGCTACCTGGCGCCACTCTGAGCCAGGGGGACGGACTCCCCACACCAATGGCTCCCAGTGGGTAGGGATTGCTGCCCCAGAAGATCAGGAATCCAAAGTAGAAAACAATCACCTGTCCAGACTCACAAAACGTCCAAGTGACAGACCATCCCTCCTCCAGCTCGTGGTCACTAAGCTTTCAACTCTCTGAAGGGCTGGAGCTCCAGACCCTCAAAGGTCCCCCATCCCGTGCCCTCTCCTTCAGCCTTTTCCTTATGGCCAGTGTGCCTAACAGTTGCACTGTGGGCGGGGAGTACTCACGTGGGCATGGAATCTCTCAGGGCCTAGGTGGGATTCACACCAAGGCCACAGGGAAGAGGCCTGAACCCAGGACTGACAAGGGCGTGGAGAGTTGGAGTGTGCGGATCATGCAGTGGTATGGAGCTCTTGTGAACTCCCTAGCTGCTCTGCCTGCAGCGATCACTACCGAGACAGGTTTCTCCCTAGAGGAGGAGAAGCATCTGGCTTGCAAGGGCCCAGGAGAAGCGAAGAGCAGGGAGGCAGAAGTGCCAGCCAGAAAAATGACAGGGTGAGCAGCAAGCCCAGGATTGTTTCATCCATCTCTAATGCCTGTCTATCCACTGTCCCTCCACACAGCACCGCAGGGCCTGGAGATTGGTGTATCCTCTTCCTAGAATTATGCCTTGGCCTCTCTGAAAGCAATCATCCATCACCAGCTAACAGCATCTTTTGACTGCACTACTAAGATTAGCCTGGAGGGGGCGCCCATCCTCCCCCAGGTTTGGGACACGGCTCTGCGGGGGGAGTTGAAAATTGGCTGTGGGCCTTGTCCTTTACCCCACAAGCAGGCCATAAAGCGTGGGAGGTGGAGATGTTTCATGTCTGCATCTTTGTATCTTAAGTACCAGGTTCACAGTACTGGAGGAAAACCACTTACTGAATGAATAGACCGGAAATGTATCTTATCTCTGCTTTTCAAAATCCCACTAAAATGGCAGTAAATACATTTTTTTTTTTTTTGCCAGTCCTGGGCCTGAACTCAGGGCCTGAGCACTGTCCCTGAGCTTCTTTAGCTCAAGTCTAGTACTCTACCACGTGAGCCACGGCGCCACTTCTGGCTTTTTCTTTCTTTCCTTCCTTCCTTCCTTCCTTCTTTCTTTCTTTCTTTCTCTCTCTCTCTCTCTCTTTCCTTTCTTTCTTTCTTTTTGGTTGGTTGTGGGGCTAGAACTCTGGGCCTGGGCGCTGTCCCTGAGCTCTTCAGCTCAAGGCGAGCGCTCTACCACTTGAGCCACAGCGCCACTTCTGGTTTTCTAGTGGTTTTTATTGGAGATAGGAGTCTTACGGACTTTCCTGCCCAGGCTGGCTTTGAACCACGATCCTCAGATCTCAGCTTCCTGAGTAGCTAGGATTACAGGTGAGCCACTGGCGCCCGCCATTTCTGGATATTTCTGTCTATGTGTACTGAGGAATCAACCAAGGGATTCATGCATGCTAGACAAGCACTCTACCACTAAGCCACATTCTCAGCCCAACATTTTTTTTTTAATCCCCGGAGGTAAAGAAGTTAACAGTCAAGAAGTTTCACTAAAATGCTGGGAAGCAGAGAAACAGGTGGTGGCTGTGTTACCAGATTGGAGAGATCAGAACTTCAATGTTGCTGGAGCTGTGGTTCACATTTGCTATCCTAGCTACTCAGGAGGCTGAGATCTGCAGATTACAGTGTGAAGCCAGCCTGGGCAAGAAAGTCCTTGAGATTCTGATTGCCAGTTAACCACGAGAAAACCAGAAGTGGCGATGTGGCTCAAGTGGTAGAGTGCTACCCTTGAGCACAAAGAGGCTCAAGGACCATGCCCAGACCCTGAGTTCAAGTCCCACAACTGACAAAAAACAAAAACAGAACCTCAATGTTTGCAAAGATAGGGAGGAGGCTGATGCAAAAACACACCAAATTCTGCCACGGAAGTCATTCGGAGGCCCGAGCCGCATGTACCAGGAGGCTCTGAAGGCTGGGATGCAGGATGTGCAGGCAGAAAAAAAGAGCAGTGGGCATTGTTCTGGTGTTCGCTGAGGGCTGGCAAAGCAGGGCACCAATCAATCCTATGCTGCCACTCTGGAGGCTCAGATCTGTAATCTGAGCTACTCAGAAGGCTGAAACCTGAGGATCGGGGTTCGAAGCCAGCATCGGCAAAAAGTCCATGATCTACATTATCTTCAACCAACCACCACAAAGCTGGAAGTGAAGCTGTGGCTCAAGTGGTAGCATGCCAGCCTTGATGGATAAAGCTCAGGGACGGCCGGGCACCGCTTAGCTCCTGAGGAAGTTGAGATCTAAGGATCACTGTTCAAAGCCAGCCCCGGCAGGAAAGTCCATGAAACATCTCCAATTTACCACCACTAGAAAACAGCAAGCGGCACTATAGCTCAAAGTGGTAGACTGCTAGCCTTGAGTGAAAAAGCTCAGAAACAGTGCCCAGGCCCTGGATTCAAGCCCCACAACTGCCAAAAAATACAAAGCTAAGGGAAAAGGAGAGAGGAAGGAAGGAAGGGACGGGAGGGAGGAAGGGAGGGAGGGAGGCAGAGAGGGGGGAGACTGGTTAGAGGTTTGGACTAGAGGTGCCTGTGTGAGGATGATCTCACACTGACTGCCAGGCAGAAGGGCATGCCAAGGGCTGGTAGGCATTTGAGGAAGGGCTGGAAACTGGAAAGGCAAGCAGACACAACACACGTAGATCATTTGCCACTAGAGCCGCCTCTTTTTAGGGGTTCTCCCTTCCCTAGTTTCCCTACCATCCTCTTTTCTCTGAAAGAAACATCTGCAAGAACTATGCTCTACTGCATACGCTGCTATACCTATTCTGTGTGCATGTGTGTATCTGGTTGTTTTTGTTTTTGTTTTTTTTTGTCGGTCGTGGGGCTTGAACTCTGGGCTTGGGCGCTATCCCTCAGCTCTACCACTTGAGCCACAGCGCCACTTCTGGTTTTCTAGTAGTTTCTTGGAGATAAGAGTCTCTTGGACTTTCCTGCCTGGGCTGGCTTTGAAGCACGATCCTCAGATCTCAGCGTCCTGAGTAGCTAGGATTATAGGCGTGAGCCACCGGCGCCTAGCCTGCATGTGTGTATCTGTACATGTGTATACAGTAGGGGGGGGCAGGTGGTACTTGAGCTACACTTCCACTTCTGGCTTTTTTTCTGGATAACTGGAGACATAAGTCTCAAGGACCTTTCTACCCAGGCTGACGCCAAACTGCGATCCTCAAATCTCAGCCTCCTAAGTTGCTAAAAGCGTGAGCCAGCCACTGCCAGTCACAGTATGAACTGTGATTCCCAGGATGAGAGGTGCCACAGGCGCTCAAGGGGATGAGTGAACGGTGACTGGCTCTCAGGCAGGAAAGGGACAGTGTGCAGGCACACGCCATTTCCGTGGTGTCCATTTTCTCAACACTTCCAATTTCATGAATCTGCTAAAGACATGGCGTCAAGTCCTGCTCTGTGCTGACCCCGGAACGGCATGACCTCACCTCATGATCGGGGGTTCCTCAGGCCTAGCAGCCTCTGCCTCTACAGCCCTCTTCTATGACTGTAGCTTAAATAAAAGATTAATCAGACTTTGCCAGAGAGCATCCAGGTACAGAGAACACAGAAAGGTTTATTGCCGGGAAAGGGCTGGCAGGACTCCTTCTCACAAGGGAGCGTGAGAAGCAGTGCTGGGTATTGTCTGGGGTGACCTATATAAATAACCGAGGAGGTTCAGGAGGGGCTGGAAGGGGCAGGAGGCGGAGACCCTGATGTGGGCCAGAGGCTTCATCATGGCAGACGAGGATTTATGGCTGCTGTCCTAATAGTAGCTAAGGGATCCTGCAGCTGCCCAGACCTGGTGGTAGCTGCCATCCTGAGGTAGAGGGGGCTGGAGGCTGATTTTCTACACGGGCCTGGTCTTGCCTAGGAAGGGAGCACACTAAGCTGTGGAGAGAGGAAGGAGTGGACTAAGCTATGGGAAGGGAACTCATTTCGGTAACCATGACTTTTGTTCATGTCTTTTGTTCAAGGCTTAGAGCTCTACTACTTTGAGCCACAGAGCCAGCTCTGATTTTCTGGTGGTTCCTTGGAGTCTCATGGACTTTCTAGCCTGGACCAGCTTTGAACCCAGATTCTCAGATTTCAGCCTCCTGAGTAGTGAGGATTGCAGGCGTGAGCCGCCAGCTTTTGGCTTTCCTCTGTGACTCTTGACCTGTGAGTCTTGGGCTCGGCTCTTCTGAGCCAGAGAGACCCTCGGTGCAAACCACAAGAAGAGGCCATATCACAAAGAGTTGAGGGGATATGCTCCCTAGAAGACTGCAATTACTCCCCAAAGCTCCCCACTTTACAGTGGCTGCTCCCAGACACCAGGGTCCTAGTCAGCTGATGTATCTTTGGAGGGGTTTGAAGTGCTCAGCCAGGGCTGAGAATCAGGCTTTGTAGGGAAGAGGTGGGGGTTCCTCTCTCCCCACCCCCAGCCATGAGGCTTGAACTCAGGGCCTGGCACTGTCCCTGAGCTTCTTTTGCTCAAGGCTAGCACTCTACCACTTGAGCCATGGCACCACTTCCAGCTTTTTCTGTGTACGGGATACTGAGGAATCGAATCTGGGGCTTCATGCACGCTAAGCAAGCACTCTACCACTAAGCCACCTTCCCAGCCCGGGCAGCTTCTCTCTTAGAGAAGACTTCAAGCTTCTCTGGACACAATTTTGGCTTCAGCATTCCCACCTGCAGCCAGCCATTCAGATGCCAAGAAAACAAAGAACAGGGTTTAATTGCTTCTGAGAAGGTACCGTCTGCTGTGGTGGTTGGCAGGGAAGTATGGCACAGGTAGCTAGCCTAGATAGAGGCTGTTACTCCAGGAGGCCCCTGCGATAGAGGTCCCCTCCAGGGTGGAGGTCATGGGGTGAGGGTGCAGGTCAGAGGCTTCCAGCTGGTCTCAGCCTAGGAGCGCCACAAGACCAAGTTGGCAGGCAGCACGTCGAAGCGCTTGCGGGTGTGGTCAGTGTCCCTGTGGTACAGGTAGCCGCAGGTGGGCTTCTGCAGTGTGCAGAAGGGGTTCAGGGAATTGCAATACTGGGGGGTGTAGAAGTGGAACCTGAGCTTGTCTGAGTTTTGCTCCCGATGGTCCACCACGACTGGCATGTAGGCGGCGGCCAGGCACTGCTGGCGGTCCTGCATCCAGGAGCGGGGCAGCTGGGAGGGCACAGGCTTCAGCTTCAGGCCTGATGGTGTCTTTGGCCATCGGTCACCATCTGAGGGTTTCTGGAAGTACTGAGGAGAGAAGGGAGGAGTTTGGACAGCGGAAGCCTGGGAGTCAGCCATTCAGATCAGGGCGGGGGCTCCACAGCCCCCTGCCCTGCTGTAGACCTCCACCTGCTCACCTGAAGTACCTGCCAGCTCACAGAGACTGGAATGGAGGGGGGGGGAGGGGAGGGGAAGTGGAAGAGGAATGGAGGGGGCAGGCGTTGACATCAGTGGTTCTCTCCCCCACAGTGCCTCCTCCCTCCTGTCAGGCCTCCTGTCTGGCCTCTCTTCTACCCAGTTAACTTAGTCCCTCCGCTCCTCAATCTTTTTTTGGCAGTCGTGGGGTTTGAACTCTGGGCTTGGGTGCTGTCCCTGAGCTCTTCAGTTCCAGGCGAGTGTTCTACCACTTGAGCCACAGCACCACTTCTGGTTTTCTGGTAGTTCATTAGAGATAAAAGTCTCACAGACTTTCCTGCCCGGCCTGGCTTTGATCCACATCCTCAGATCTCAGCCTCCCAAGTAGCTAGGATGACAGGTGTGAGCCGCCGGCGCCTGGCTGTGGGCTTTGCACCCTTGCTTGGCTTTTTCACTCAAGGCCAGGGCTTTACCACTTGAGCTACTGCTCCAGTTTTGGCTTCTTGATGATTAATTCGAGATAAAGAGTCTCACAGTGTTTCCTACCCAAGCTGGCTTTGAACCTCAGTCCTCAGGGCTCAGCCTCCTGAGTAGCTTGGATTACAGGTGTGAGCCACCAGTGCCCAGCCCTTTCTTACCCCTGATTTTAACAGCCTCTCAACGTCTCCACTGTTTCCTTCAACCCAAGACATTTCAAGCGTGTTCAATAAATAGAACCCAGTTCAACTCATCCGGATTTTGGAGAGCAGAGCAGCAGCTCCTCTGACCAGCCAGGCCCATTCCAGAACATTCCAGAACATCCTCATTGTTACCAAACCTGCCTCCTGCCCGCCACCCTCCCATCTCCTCCACATCGTCCCTGCGCAATTGTGCATTGGATCTGCCCACTTCTAGAGACCCCATCCCCACAACATCTACTAACTCCACCTTCACTCCTCCTCCTCTTCTTTTTCTTTTGTGCTAGTCCTGAAGCTTGAACTCAGGGCCTGAGCCCCATCTCTGAGCTTTTTAGCTCAAGGCTGGAGCCACGCTCCACTTCCAGCGTTTTGGTGGTTAATGGGAGATGAGTCTCACATACTTTCTGGCCCAGGCTAGCCTCAATCTTCCATCCTCGGATCTCAGCCTCCTTAGTAGCTAAGATTACAGATGTGAGCCACCAATGCCTGGCTTCCTGGGGCTTGAACTCAGGGCCTGGGCACTGTCCCTAAGCTTCTTTTGTTCAAGGTGAGCACTCTACCACTTGAGCCACTTCCAGCTTTTTCTGTGTATGTGGTACTGAGGAATTGAACCAGGGCTTCATGTATGCTAGGCAAGCACTCTACCACTGAGCCACATTCCCAGCCCTCAGCATCCTTCTTGACTGTCCAGGGACGGAGCTGTCTTGTTCATCTTGGAAACTCCACACACTCCTCCCGACCCCAGGCCCTTTCTAGTGGACAATTTCCTAGTCATGACGGTACAGCCCCAAAGTTGTGATCATCCACTTGTGTATCAGCCTGGCTAGCTTCTGACCCCCTGGGAGTGAGCACAGGACAAGATACCATTTTCTCTCTGCCAACTTCACACTCCTCTATCCTCTAGCACTGAGGTAGAGAAGGGGGCCTTCTTACGGTGTCCCAAAGGTTCAAGTCATATCATAGCCTCTTTGCATTTAATTAAAAAACTACTTACCATCTAATTACTTAATCTCAACTAAAAAAAAAAAACCTACTTACCACTCCGTAGGCTGAGATCTGAGGATCCCTGTTCAAAGCCAGGAAAGTCTGTGAGACTTTTTTTTGGGTCGGTCATGGGGCTTGAACTCTGGGCCTGGGCACTGTCCCTCAGCTCTTTAGCTCAAGGCTAGTGCTCTACCACTTGAACCACAGCGCCACTTCCAGCCTTTTTTGTTTATGTGGTGCTGAGGGATCAAACCCAGGGCCTCATGCATGCGAGGCAAGCGCTCTACCACTGAACCCCCATGTGAGACTCTTTATCTCCAATTAACCACCAGAAAACAGGAAATGGAGCTGTGGCTCAAGTGGTAGACTGCTAGCCTTAAGCTGAAGAGCTCAGGGACAGCGCTCAGGCCCCAAGTTCAAACCCCATGATGGGAGTGGGGAGTGTAGAAGAGAAAGAAGAAGAGTAACCTCAGTGAGCAGAGAACACCCCATCCTTCCATCCTCCACTAGGCGAGTGCAGCCAGCGTGGGGCAGAAGTTGGGGGGGGGGAGGCAGGGGAGGCGGGGCTGTCTGTGGAGTTCCAGGTTAACATCTGCTTTCATTTAACTATGTCCTCCCTGTTGTCTGTGCGTGTGCCCGTGTTTGTAAGGGACACTTGGCAAGCTGGGCACCTGTGGCTGTAATCCTAGGTACTCAGGAGGCTAAGTCTGAGGATCATGGTTCAAAGCTAGCCCGGACAGGAGAGTTTGTGAGACTCTTATCTCCAATAAACCACCAGAAAACCAGAAGTGGCGCTGTAGCTCAAGTGGTAGAGCGCTAGCCTTGAGCTGAAGAGCTCAGTGACAGCGCCCAGGCCGAGTTCAAGCCCATGACTGACAAAAAAAAAAAGGCGGGGTGGGGGGGGGGGACACTTGGCATGCCTAGATACACTGCTGGTTATCAACCTGGGGGCACTACCAGCAGCACCTCTGCATGCTCTGAAGGCCCCCAACACAGGACTCCCAGCACCCATGTCAGTAGCATGAGGGAGAGGCCTGGTTCAGAGCTCTGAGGAAGATACTTACCTCTCCCTCCTGCCTTCCACTGTACAGGGAGCCTTACAGCCAAAACCTCAGGGGAAGCCCCAGGCCTCCTCTCCCTCACTGGGGCTTGAACTCAGAACTTGGTGCTCTCACTTGGCTTTTTCGCTTTAAGTCTGGTGCTCTTCCACTGGAGCCACACCTCCACATCTGGCTTTTTGGTGGTTAACTGGACATAAGAGTCTGGGGGTGTGGGGGCTGGGAAGGTAGCTCAGCGGTAGAGTGCATGTCTTGCAAGCATGAGGCCCTGGGTTTGATTCCTCAGCACCACATAAACAGAAAAAGCCGGAAGTGGTGCTGTGGCTCCAGTGGTAGAGCGCTAGCCTTGAGCTGAAGAGCTGAGGGACAGCACCCAGACCCAGAGTTCAGGCCCCATGACCAGCAAAAAAAAAAAAAAAAGAGTCTCAGGGATTTTTCTGCCCAGGCTGGCTTTGAACCTTGATCCTTACATCTTGGCCTCCTGAGTAACTAGGATTATAGTCATGAGCCTCCCCTCCCTTCCATACCCTTCCCCAATTTCTGTTTTTGTTTTTGTCAGTCCTGGGGCCTGAACTTTGGGCCTGGGCGCTGTCACTGAGCTCTTCAACTCCAGGTGAGCTCTACCACTTAAGCTACAGTGCCACTTCTGTTTTTTTGGAGGTTAATTGGAGATAAGAGTCTCAGGAGATAAGAAATGTTCTCCTTGGAAGTGGTGCTGTGGCTCAAGCAGTAGAGCGCTTGCCTCAAGCTGAAGAGCACAAGGACAGCGCCCAAGCCCAGAGTTCAAGCCCCATGACCAACCAAAAAAAAAAAATAGTACTCATTACCTTGCCCATGTAATTGTAACCCCTCTGTATGGTATTTTCACAATTAAAAAAAAAAAGTCTCATGAACTTTCCTACCCGGGCTGCCTTTGAGCCACGATCCTCAGATCTCAGCTTTCTGAGTAGCTAGGATTACAGGCATGAGCTACTGGTACCTGGCTGTAATTTCTGTTCTCTCTCTCTCTCTTTCTTTCTCTCTCTCTCTTCCTTCCTTCCTTCCTTCCTTTCTTTTTCTATCATTGGTTGTAGGGCTTGCTCTTGGCCTAGGCGCTGTCCCTCAGCAGTTCAGCTCAAGGCTAGCCCTCTACCACTTGAGCCACAGTACCATGTCTATGTATGTGGTATTGAGTAATCGAACCCAGGGCTTCATGCATGCTAGGCAAGCACGCTACCACTAGCCCTAATTTCTGTTTTCTAATGAGAACCAAAAGCAGGGATTCAGAGCGGGCTCTCTCCTTCCACACCCCATGGCCACAGGCCTTTTAGAACCCAAGTAACCAGTGGGCTGGTCAGTCCCTCCTATCAGGATTTATAATGGGCAGGACCAGCCCTTCCTGTGGTACAATCTCCTATCTTCCACCTGGCTGGACCAGGCACAAGATTCCACCATTAAAATCTGCCCACTGGGCACCAGTGGCTCACACCTGCAAGCCTGTTATCCCACCTACTCAGGAGGCTGAGATCTGAGGATCACCAGCCCAGGCAGAAAATAACAGGAGTCTGATCTCTAATGAACCATCAAAAAGCTGGAATGAAGCTGTGGCTCAAGTGGCCAGTCTTGAGCGGAAAAAGTTTCAGGACAGTGTCCAAGCCCAGTGTTCAAGCCCCTGGACTGACACAAAACAAAACAAGTGTGAGGTCTTGTGTGAACAGCCCCTGGGGCAGAGGGGGGAGGCTGCCCCCCATGCCCTCCCTGGCACCTGACGCAGTGGAACGAGCCCTACTCTGCCATCTGAAGGGCTGAACGCTGGCCGCCCCAGCCTTACAGGTCAGGCTGCGCCTCTAAGCTTCCACTGGGAAGTGGGGATGGATCAGCTTCCTCCCTGGCTGGCTGTGGTGGGGATGCAGGTGGGGCAGGGGGAGAGGGGGAGCTGGAGCTTCCACTTCTTGGTGAGTCTGGCTCACTTTGGGCCTGGAGTCAGCTACAGATCAAATGCCAACTTCTCCAGCTGCTGGACCCTCTGCACAGAGGGTCCATTGCCCGTCCTGTGAAGCGGGCCTTTAAGCAACTCCATCCCACAGAGTTACCTACAGGGTCTCCTGGGCTATTCCAAGCCTCACACTTGAGCTCTTACAGCACTACTTAGGCACACTGCCCAAAGGGGCGACAGAGAAAGCTGGACGGCAGCCCCCCCTTCTCACCCCAAGGAACAGACAGTGGAGGAGTCAGGCAGGGGCCT